TAATAAATGTTCCTTCTAAATGGCTACACAGGGAAGCATCTTCTGAGAATGGAATATGAAATGATCTTAAGGCAATTACAAAGAAGTTTTTGATTTTCAAAATTTAGTACAATTACGTGATTTTCTTTTGTGTGCAAGCAGCCTTGGCATTGAACTCCCACAAAACGATGAGTCATGTGGAGCTGGTTGTTTCCTTGAGAATAGCAAGGAGGAGCTGAAAATCATCTTTTGAATTCAAGAGCGCAGGAGTGCCACGTGTGAATTTAATTTCATAGCAGAACCTATGGCACAAAGAAATTCAATGTTTTACTGGGTGCCTGTGTGGGTACAGCAATGGGTGCTGCAGAACATGCAGGCAGAGTGACCCAGCAGTGACACCCTAAATCCAGGGTTAATGGCTGAGTCTGTGCCCTTGGACAGAAAATTCCTCATCTCAGGCGTCTTAGCCCGCAAAACCTTTTGGATTACACCCCATTGGTGTCTGCACCCAAAAAATACTGTTAAATTACTTACCAATAATCTTTGTAATTTCTTTCAGCTTTCAAAGTCCTCTTTACTGCTAAATTTATGTCTGAAAGGCGCTTTGTCACATTGTGCACTGCTCTACCAAGATCAGAGATTCTGTTGTAAAAAGACACTTTGGATTAAGCAGCACCTTCTGTATTTTTTCAGAACTGAAAATATTTTTTCTCACAGGTTTTGTTTTATATAAACAATAATTAGAATTGAGTTGTTTTAATTTAAGTTCCTTTAAAACCCACAATCAGATGTCAGTGGTGCCCAGTGACGGGATGAGCGGCAGTGGGCACAAACCATGATGCAGGAAATCTATTTTAAATATAGGAAAAACACCTTTTTGGTAGTTAAGGTGGTGCCATAGGTTTGGGACAGGCTGAGAAAGGGAATTCTTGGAGAAAGAAAAAAGCAGACTGGCCCAAGGCCCGTGAGTGGAGCCTGCTCTGAGCAGGGGTGGGAGCAGCTGAGCTCAGGAGCTTCCACCCCAGGGATTCACAGATAAATATTAATCAGCAAAAGGGATTGCTCCCTGTTTTCAGAGAAAGGAAGTTCTAATTAATGCACCTTTTCAAAATGAGCTATGCCTCTGCTAACACAGTCTTTAGAGCAGGAATCTCTATTATAGCTCATTTTTTTCCCCTGGATTCTGACTCTGGCAGGAACTTGTTGTGCCATCTCTCTTCATTAGGAGCTCCATGACACGTTCACAGGAGCAAACAGGGCCCCTGCAGGACATATGCCATGTGACTGCAGAGGCACTAAAGGATAATCAAGCATATTAAACAATAATTTGATTTATTCCATATTTGCTTTGTATGGGGATATAAAAACTGCCTCGTGCCTGATTCATTTCCAGGCAGGCTCTTGCCATGGCACAGATGTGGGCAGGCAGTGACAGTGCAGATGTTGGGCAGGCAGTGACAGTGCAGATGTTGGGCACACAGTGACAGTGCAGATGTTGGGCAGGCAGTGACAGTGCAGATGTTGGGCACACAGTGACAGTGCAGATGTTGGGCAGGCAGTGACAGTGCAGATGTTGGGAGGCAGTGACAATGCAGATGTTGGGAGGCAGTGACAGTGCAGATGTTGGGCAGGCAGTGACAGTGCAGATGTTGGGGAGGCAGTGACAGTGCAGATGTTGGGAGGCAGTGACAGTGCAGATGTTGGGCACACAGTGACAGTGCAGATGTTGGGCACACAATGACAGTGCAGATGTTGGGCAGGCAGTGACAGTGCAGATGTTGGGCACACAGTGACAGTGCAGATGTTGGGAGGCAGTGACAGTGCAGATGTTGGGCAGGCAGTGACAATTCTGTGCCCACAGCTCTGCTGTAGGAGAGGAAAAAAATAAACCAAATTCTTTTTCAAGAGTTTGTTTTCTTCCAAAATTTGTTTTTTCCCATGTTTATTTGTTCCCAAATGACAAATAAAACTAACTTATCAAAGGCAGAAACCTAAAAAAAAAATTGTGGTAATTATCCCTCAGTTTTCTCTGCATGAGGGTGGGTGCTTGAAGACATGAAAATTTTATGATAGACTTAAGGTCAAAAATTGTTTTTTTGTCTGAAGCAGATAAAGGTTTATTCTGATTGTGCAGATATCGAGGGTTCTGCTAACTGAAAATGGAAATATAAAGTTAAATAGACAAAGAGTTAAATGCAAACTTTATAATAACTCCAAAAAGGTGATTTTCCATTTCTTTGTTAACACATATTCTAATTTAGATGGCTGGAGTCTTGTGAGTAATCCATTGCTATGGAACATCATTTATAAAACACCACTTAACACATCTTGTGTGAAGTATCTATTATTAGCAGATTGTTGATTTCTAAAGAGCAGAAAAAACCATCAAAGGTAGAGGTGAGATAAAGGATGAAATTTCACTTTTGTAAGTAGTTTTTAAGGAGGCAAAACAAACCATGGAAACTTTTAGCAATTATTATTCCTAATGGAACGCCATTATTTTAGAAATTCTTAAGGGGATAAATCTGGAGGTCAGGTTTAGAAACACACAGAAGCAGCAGCACGGATATGAAAAATAAAATGTCACATCTGAGAGCTCTTCCAGCACTATTTTGGCAGAGCATCAGCCATTCTCAAACCTTCTCCTCCAGCAGCAGCCAAGGTCACCCCCACACATCCAATTCACAGGACCCTCCCTGGGCTGGGCTGTGGAGGAGCCTGCAATGGATGAACAGCAGGGTCCCCACTCCCAGAGCCCTCAGAGACAAGGCTGCCCTGCACTGGCACTCCAGAGTCTTCCTTTGCTGCCTGCTTTTTTATTTTATTTAATTTTTTACAAATTCCAGGTTGCTTTTTTTCTTTTCCTGGGGTGGGGAATGCAGGAAGCCAAAGTGTTCCTAAATAGGGGCCAAACCCAGGTGGGCAGGTGTGGGATTTTCTGAGACCCCATTGAGGGGAGGAATGATGAACCTGACTCCATGTTCTTAGAAGGATAATTTATTATTTTATAATCTACATTATGTTAAATAATACTATACTAAAGAATATAGCAAGGATACTTACAGAAAGCTAAAAAGATAATAATGGAAAACTTGTGACTCTCTTCAGAGTCCGACACAGCTTGGCCCTGATGGGCCCAGCAGGTTTTACAAAATCTCTGCATTCTGATGCCAATGTCCATTTGGTAATGGCCAGTTCTGAAGGAACTGGAGCCGTGAAAAATGGGGTTTATGTCAGATACTGCAACTCCTCTTTAATTTCAATTCCAGAGAGTCAATCTTCAATCTCCCACTGTGGTCAGGGCACTGGAGCACTGCATAATTCACAGGTTCTCTGATAGACAGCACTGATTATTAGCTGCTTCTTCTTTTTTTCTTTTTTTTTTTTTTTTCCTAATATTTCATTCTTTCAGAATATCTCTGCTTTTGAAGGCAGAACCAGGAAGTTTTTCTGAGGAGAGCTACAACAGATTGTGTAGAAATACTGTTTCCAAGACTTGCTTACCAACAAGATTTTCCCTTTATTGTTTTTCTAAATTAATATAATCAGTCTTTATTATGCATTAATCATCTCTTTCTGTTAGAGAAGTGTGATAAACACATTTTATTCATTTATTTGTATGCTATCACTCAGATCCCCTCATGTTTAGATCATGGCTGGGTTATTCAGGGCTCTCTGCAGACCTATAACAAAGAAACAAGTTCTCCAGAGAATTTACAGTATACATGAAAGAGAAGATGAAATAACAGAGCAAGGCAGACAATCAAGGTTGGGGAAGAAAAGGAAGATAAAAAACTGAACAGAACTAGGCAGGAAACAAGAGCCACTCATGACTCCTGGTAAAACAAGACACAAATGTGAGAGTGTGATATTTGATCAAAAATGCTCTGAGATCCATGCACAGATGTTACAAAAAGAACTAAGATCTGCTTGCATTATTTCTAATTAATTACCTAAAATCCCAGCCATCTTTACATTTTAGGGACTGAGACTCCCTGCATCTGTTGGTATTTCAGGTTATTTTCCATTTCTCACAGAATTTTGAGGCTTTTGTCCTCAGGGTCATTGGCTCACCTGGTCTTCTCAGTTTTGTCAGTAATGTTCTCTGTGGACAGATATTTATTCCTTTGGGTGTTTTTTGTAATTAGTGACTGATTTTGAGAACTGATCTTTCATTCTCTAATTACAGAGATGCTGAGAGGTGAGTTGTATTTTTTTTATTATTTATAGAATATGCCCTTGGTCAGCACTACATGACTGTCAGCTCTCTCTCTAAATTGCTAACTCAAGATTCAGAGCATGTTCCTTCCATTGAGAAAACCTCGACCAAAGCTAGTTTCTATCTTCAAGGAAGATTATTTTCCTGTTGTCTGACATTCTGCAATGGAAAATGTTTAAATCTGAATTATTTCTCACTCTCTAGCTTTTCCTGTGCTCACATTTACCTCCACAGCCCCATGCCCTACACATACAGGTGTATGGAATCCTTGTAACACCAGAGGAAAACACTTTTCACTAAGTACACACCAATTAATTCCAGTTTCGGGACTGTAATGGCTCCTGTTCCTTGGTGATTTGTCACTTCAGTCCCTCGTGGACACAGCAGAATTTGGTGCTGCAACGTTCTGGAATTCCCTCCACACCTGTGCTAAGGGCACAGGCCCTGCTGATGAATGCCCCGTGCTGTGAGCGCTGATGTGCCATTAATCACATTAAGAAATAGGCCTAACAAGCCATAATTTAAAAGAAGGACTGTGTTCCCAGCTCTGCTTTCAGTCAGAGTGAAGCAGCCTGTGAGTATCTCTGCATTGAGGGTGCACTTTTGGGTGTGTTTTTGCCATGTCCTTTTCCAGGCATGCTCCCCATCCCAGGGAATGGCACAGAGCTGCCTCCATGCCCAGGAACCCCCTGAATATCAAACTAATATCTGCTCAATATTGCCCTAATCACAGCCAGAGCAAGGGCAAATTACTGACCCTAATCCTCATTAATTCTTTCTGTGACAGGATCAGGAGCTGCTTGGAGGACTCAGGAATCCCACCCAAAACTGGAGTTATTCCCCTCAACAGCCTCTCTGAAATTGCCATCAGCAGAAGCTGCATTGTTTGAAAAGGTAAGTGACTGCAAGCAAGAGATAGAATTAGCATCATCTGTTCTTTAAAACTACACCTGTCATTAAAGTTTTAAAGAAATGAGATCTTAGCTGAAATCTTTGTAATTTACTAACGCTCATTTCCATACAATTTTGTCAGAACAGCACAAACTCGGTGTTGACACAGCCTGAGCCTTCAAAGCTGGGCTCAGTTTGTGCAGCTCTCCTGTCTGTAAGAATGACACTGATTTTCTCAGATTTCACACAGATTTTCCATTTAACTCTCAGTATTTTATAGCCAGCTTTGGGCAGGTGAGGAACAATTCCCTCTGATGCTGAGCACAGATCCTGCCATGCCACAGGTGAACGCAAAGGGAACAAAACACACTTGGACATTGGTCTGTGGATGGTTGTGGGAGGGAATGGTTGTTCCTCTGACCTGGCTCACGTTAATCCCTGAGCACCCCAGGTCCTTTCCTCAGAGCTGGAATTGCACCCAGGACCTGCCAGACCTCACGCATCCCTCCTTGTTTATATCTGAATTTTAAAAAAAGCCAAGCATCTGCACCTGCTCCCCTTGAACGGCCTTCTAAGAACTATTCCAGAAAGTCAAACCCTAACTTTTTACAATCCCTCTTTGCAAGTAGGAGAAAAAAGACAGAAATATCACATTCCATGAGAGGAAAATGGGAACTAAAATTGCAAAGGTCACTTTTCACTTGTAGCTGCAAAGATCTGTTATCTCAGGTGTTGCAATGTCAAAATTCTTTTATTCACTGAGGTGCCACCTCTCCTTGGGCTTGTGAAAACTCAGCAAACAGTTACACACATTTAATGAGAAGCAAACAGGGTGTTTAAAACCCCGGACTCTGCAGGAGCCAGTGCAAGTAGAAGCATTAATTGGCTTAATATTCAGGTGCTCATTTCAGGGCACTGCAGCAGTAAAAAGTTTCTTGTCCATACACTCTTCAGGGAAACTGTGAAAGTCCAGAACAAGTCACAGATGTATAAGAATATTATTATGCTTTTTAAATAATATTTTAAAATATTATTTTAAATAATATTTTAAATAATTAAAAATAATTTAAAATAATATTTTTAAATTTAAAATAATAAAAATATTATTTCAAATAATATTTTTAAGCTTCTTAATTTTGTCTTAGCTGTCAGGTGAGGGGCTCTGCAGGTGAGAGCCCACCTGATCCTTTCCCACCACAGAACCGGGTTCAGATCTGATAAAATCCGAGTTTGGAAACGCTGGTTTATCTGTTTGTGTAGGGGTGCTATAAAAAGCACATCACCATGGCATCCCAGCTCTTTCCAATTAAAGAAAACCATTCCTACCATTTACTTAGCAGCTCTGACAATAGCCTGCAGCAGCAGTAAAACAACTTGACTGCCTGGCATTTTACAAGATAAATCCCTCACTACACTCTGTTTTTTCTTGCACTGTTGCTTGCAAAGACTTAAAAAGTTACTGCTCCTTCAGCGACTGGGACTGGTGCTGTTGCACTCATTTGGGCCACGGATCACTGGCTGCACTTTGTGCCTTCACATGCCACTTTGAGAAAAATCAATTTCAGTCTTGAGGAGCTCAGCCTGGTGTTGCAGAAGATCAGTGCACATCTCCAGGTGCTGCAGGGCATTGGCATCTTGATGTGGATTCAACAAAACATGACATAGGTATGCTGCAAAATTGCTTACTCTCATGCTAAGGGATCCTCTGAGGAAAATTACGCAGTAAATCAGAATGCTGGGAGGGCGTGCAAGGCACAGCAGCTGCAGTGAACACTTCTGTGTTTCTCACAACATAATTGATGTTGCTAACTGTAAGTGGCTCTGCTAATAAATGTGGTAGGTACAATAGGGAAATCAGATAATTTTTAATATTGAGATTAAAAATGGCATGTAACTGATGTTGAGGAAAGAAGCAGTTTGAGCCTAATAATGGTTGGAAGTATCTAAAAATCTTCTGTCCAGCATTAATTGTCACCTAAATCAGATATAATGTCAATACAGTTACTCTCTACCTTTGTTTAAATATTTTAAGTCTCTGCAGGGTTTTTATACATGTGCAAAGCTGGAGAAAAGGATCACTGACGTCCTTTGCCCTGCTGTATTTCCACACAGACACAAGAGTTAATTTCTGGATGTCTGTAATTTAGCAGGGGTGTAGCCCTGCCTGTCTCAAGGGCTCGGGCTGCATTTCCAGGGGATGTTAACTGTGCCTCCAGTGAGCACAGCAGAAATGCTGAGCCCAGATTAGGCATTCTGCTGAGCTCTCAGCAATGGTCCCTGCCAGATCATGTTTCTGATCGCTTTTGAAGGAGCAGCTCTGTCTCCAAAGAGGTTGTGCTAAATCAAGAATCATCTGTTTGTACGAACTGAACTTCCTGCAGGGTCAGGGGCTGCCTGTCCTGCTGCAGCTGGCAGGAGTCAGATGGGTTCTGGTGCAAGGATAAAGCAGAATATTCATTTCCCTGGGCACCCAGGCTCACCTGATGCGGATCTGTGCTCCTGATCTGCATCCCACCAGCTGGAAGCTGCTGCTGCTTCCCCTCCACAGCACCAGGAATGAAATCCCATCCGTAACCTGCTGGATTTCCTTACCTGGGCCCTCCTCAGCCAAATGAGCCAAACAGAGCAGGCCTAGGGGAATTTTGCTGATCAGGTGATGGGGCTGGGACAGGTTTGGGGTTGCTCAAAGGAGCAGCTCCACCAGGAGATTGTGGCAGCAGCACAGAATCACAAAATCACAGAACGACAAAATCAAAAAAATCACAAAATCACAAAATTACAGCATCACAAAATCACAGAATCAATAAATCACAGCATCACAGAATCACAGGATCACAGGATCAAAAAATCACAGAATCACAGAACCACAAAATCATAGCATCACAGAATCACAGCATCACAAAATCACAGAACAACAAAATCAAAAAATCACAGAATCACAAAATCAATAAATCACAGAATCACAAAATCACAGCATCTCAGAATCACAGAATGAACTAGGTTGGAAAAGACCTTTAAGATCACCTAGCCCAATCTATGACCTGGGATTATTGCACCAGCCTTGCTTTACCTGCAGAAGGAGGTGTGAAACAGTTTAATTGATAAACAGGGTGTGGATCCTGAATAAACAGAGGCTGGAGCTCTCCACTCCCAGTGGAAGCACCAAGCACTCAGCCAGCTGCAGGCTCAGGAGCAAAACCAAAAGAACAGCAAGGGAGGGTGAGCAGTCAGACTTCTCCCAGGGTTTATTCCTATTTTCTTCTTTTTTTCTGCACAGTTTTCCAGAAGATGCAGTTAAACAAGCAGGTGTGGTATTGAAATACACTCTGCATTCTTCCCACAACAAATACGGATTTGTGCAGAGACAGCCAAAACTTCCCCAGTCATGCCAGCTTTGTTTGTGCTCTGTTTGGAAGGAAAAGGCAGGTGAAATTCACTGCCAGATACCAGCTCTGTGCAAAAAACCGGATAAAGGAGCTGTAAAATAAGATTGAATTAAGAAATTCCAAATCTATGACTCAACTTGATCACAAACCAAGTGTTCACTGAAATCTGAAATTGAAAATGAATTTCACGTGAAATATGAAAACCAAACAAGGATGTTTCAAGTGCTTCCTTATGCAAATTCTGAGGTTTTTTCTTACAGTTTCCTTTAAAAAACAGGTGGTGATGGTGAGGAGGAGTTTGTGACAAATGATTCTGACATTTACACATTTTGCTGAATGCTAGTGGACATTTGTAATTTATTGTAATGATTTATGAGCAAAGAAGCCTAGCAGTGTTGAAGTGCTGATATCTTTTCTGCAATTCTGGCAAAGATTTTCTAAACAACAATATTCTCCTTTTGTAATTCAGGGTTTCTATAGCACATAGAACATTTACATTTGTTCCTACAGGGGAAATTTCACAATGACATCACCTGCATTTTATCTTCCTTTTTTGGGAATGCCTTTGAGCACAAATCAGTTTTTCCATTCCTGATTTTATGATACTCCAGTTTCAGATCATGTGTATCCCAGGTGACTGAACACCTAGTCATCCAAAATATTGGCAGGATATCCAATCTTGTTTAAGTTCCCTTCTAGTGGGAGCAAGGCTTCTGCAGGCATCAAATACACTCAATATAGTTCTTTTCAAGAAAATCTGAAGAAAGAATCACTTTATCTTGGAGGGGGTGCTGTTGTTCCACTTTTGTTAACAGGAGTGTTAACAACTATCAGGAGCCTGGTTGATAAATAAGAACATCGGAAAAATGAAAAGGAACTTTGGGCAATAAGTTACAGGCCACAATCGCTGGAGCATTTTGGTGCACAGATGCCTGTGGTGTTTCCTGGTGCAATTTGAGCTTTTGATTTCCATCTCATTTTGCTTAACAAAGAAATCTGCCCCACTTAAAAGACGAAATTCCCTCACTAGAAATGAACTGTTCAAAAGCTGAGTGGAACAATGCAAACATTTCCTGGAAATCCTCCTTGTGTTTCTGTGGGATTGACTGTCAAGCTCTGAAATGCATTTGGTGAAATTACGGCTGTGCAAACCCACTTGTGTGAGCCCTAGCATGTAATTCCAGACTGTTGTCATGCTGTTCAAGAATTGTTCTTCCTATACATTGGCTTTCCTGACCATATGCTTAAAAGTTTATTTTCAGGAGCAGAATCAGTTGATAGGGCTGAGTTATATTTATGTTATCTTCACTGGTGCACTTAAAGAAGGAAAAACTCAGTTTTGGAGGTTTTCCTAATTAGTCATCACCTTGAATGGAGTGGGCTCAAGGAAGAATGCCTCAGCCATGCTCTATTTTTCATTGCTTTCTGTTTGTTTCTTGTGTGGAGGGTAATGTTTAGAGCAGCATTACTGCTCATTACCCTGCTTAGGACACGACTGTTTGCACTAACTGCCAGAATCTTTTTTTGGAGAAAAATATACTTTTCCACTTAGTTTGCTGTTTCTAAATCCAACAAATATATCACATGCCATTTCCTCTTTTTGCAGTTTCTGCAATACCAT